TATATAAATAAATAATATATACATATATATATAGTACAACAATATATATATATATATATATATATATATATATATATAATTTAATTATTTTATAAATATTAATTATATAATAAATAAAAAAGCCTTACCTTATTTTTATCTTTCTAACCTCTTCCTGTCAAAAGTCCCGCGTAAAGTTCTGCACACGACATGTGTTGGCACCTGCATTTCTATCGCCGCGCAAGCGCAAAGCCACATATACGCTAAGCAGCCGGTCCCTAATCGGAACACTGAGACTGCATTCGGGGAGAGCGCTATCAGCGCTATTGTGTCACTCTATCCTTGTTTTATGTCCAATGAACGATAAAGATAGAATAATGCGATAGCGCTGATAGCGCGCTCCCCGAACACAGCCTGGGCCTTGCTACACTGGCGCCAAATTCCGATTTGTTGCGGTCAGGTTTTGTTATTTGCCGTCACAGTGGTTGTTGGTATATCAAAATTCATTAAAGTTTAATTTTTAATTATAAGTAGAAGTTGCACAGATAATATGAAAATAAAATAGCCGGTTTGATTGAGATTATTAAAACTTTAAAATTTCAAGCATTTTCAAGTTATTTTGTACTATACTTATAGCCCTGTAAATATAACCTTATTTGCCAATCTTTTGTGTAGGTTAAGCTATCTTAACCATGGCTAAGAGAAAAGCTTCTTTGCGACATTCTAAACGGTTCTCCGGAAATAGATCTTCCTCTCTGTATAACTCTGCAGTTCTCGATTCGAATTCAACTATTTTAGGTGAAGGTAAGAATGTGTTCTCTTTATTATTCTACATTATACAGCATAAGTTATCATGCACTTATAAACATTTGAAAAAAATTTTGATGAGCTTTTGACATTGCAGAATCAAGATTTTGGTGGAATGATTTGGAAGAGAATACGTCTTTGCGATATGCTTTAATACGTAATAATGGAAATGAAACAACTCAACAATTGAGTCAGAATTCAGAAACCAAACCTGATCAAAATACATTACAGTGGTACAAATATTTATCATCGGACAGTGAACATAATGCTTCAAACTCAAAAGAAAACTTTAACAGAGGTATACTCTACAACAATAATTTTACAATAATAGTAGTAAATAATTTTATTTTAAATAATATATATTTTTTTAGTGGCAGTCAAAACACATCGTAAAGTTATAGCATCAACAACATCTGAATCCGAAAATGAAGTTGATGTAACAAAAGCGAAAAGGTTTAATCTAAAGCCAGCACGTAAAACAACTGAAAAAAATGTTTTTTTGGATGTTTTGAATACTGATACTGGTACTAACTCTGATAGTGGTTCTTTAAACAATAAAAATTCACAAATAAAGCTACATGAAAGTATAAGAGGATAGTCCAAATTTGAGTATAAGATTAAAGCCAAATATTTTTAAGAAAAAAAGAGGTAATAAAGTGGAAGATCGGAATATCTTTCAAGATGTACTGGCAAAAAATAGCATTTTAGACAGCAGTATAAGGAAAAAATCGTTTGGACTTGATAAGGAATTCTTGCAGAATTCAACTTCTCAGAATATTGATACAAACAAGGATCATATTAATGATCAAAGGAAAGGATCTATAAAATTATCACAAGCGTTATCACTGGATAATGAAATTGATTCTTCGGATGTATCAACTTTGAAAAATCAGAATGCAACATTTGAAAATAATATTATGTCTGATATTGATGAGACAGAGCACGGTAATGATAAAAGTAAAAGATTAGGTAAACGTATGAAATCCTATTTTTCGCGACGCGCACGAAGAAGCACAGGAAGAAATACTTTTGAAATTGCTCTGGCTGATGACAAAGATATATCAGCATTGAATGCATCTAAGAAGCAATTGTTAAATATTTCAAAGGAAAAAAACAAAGACAATATTGAAGAAGGTACGAGCAGTTCATCTTTAAATAATAATGAAATTCGCAAGTCCGTGAAATTTTCAAAGTCAAAAATTAAATATTCGAGATCACATAATAAGAGCTTAAATGAAAATTCACAAAAGGAGCCATTTGAACAGAACAATACAAACGGAGAACAGACTTTAAGCATATTCACTGAACGATTATCCAATTTAAGTTCTGGTAAGGAAACTCGTTTAACGCGCAATAGTTCTAAAACGCGATTTGAAACACCGACGCCTACGAAGAAAAGAGCACGTAAAGTTACGAATGATGATTTGGAACACAACATCAATGAAGAACAAAATTCAGACACATTGGTCAAACGATTACCCAACTCAAGTTCTGGTAAGGAAACTCGTTTAACGCGCAATACTTCTAGAATTCGATCTGAAACACCGACGCCTACGAAGAAAGGAGCACGTAAAGTTACGAATGATGATTTGGAACACAACATCAATGAAGAACAAAATTCAGACACATTGGTCAAACGATTACCCAACTCAAGTTCTGGTAAGAAAACTCGTTTAACGCGCAATACTTCTAGAATTCGATCTGAAACATCGACGCCTACGAAGAAAAGAGCACGTGAAATTACAAATGATAATTCGGACTATGACATGAATAAAGAGCAGGATTCAAGCACATTGGACAAAGAATTATCCAAATCAAGTTCTGGTAAGGAAGCTCGTTTAACACATAATAGTTCCCGAAGTCGATACAAAACACCAAACTTTACAAGTGGGGCAAAATTGTCTACACAGTCTGCAAATAAGAACGTCCATATTGAAGATGTCGATGTCGATAGCGTAAGTACGATTTCTGAAATAAATGTAGATGATTCCTTACCAATAACAAGTTCTACAAGAATTTCTTCCGCTCAAATTAATGAGGGTGTAAAAGCCCACAAAAATGCTATTTTATTCTTTAATACGGCTGATGAAGAAGATGTTTTCGCGACGCAAATGGTTCAACGAAAATATTCTTCGCCAGGTAACAGAACGAGCAACAAGACAATAAATCAGCAAACATTGTCGACCGTGGTAAATCTAAATAGCATTAAAGAGAATAAAGAAACTTCACATAGGCAAAAGAGCTTGAATAGGTCATCTCAAAATGACAGCACGCCGATTAAAGCATTAAGTAAAAATATTTCTATTCGTAATAAATTAAATTCACCCAAAAAATTGAAAACGATAAATGATTTTTTCAAAGTGAAACAATCTTCTACAACAGTGGCTGAACCGTCTACATCAAGTAATAAGAACTTGGCGCCCTCACAAGCTTTCATTGAGAAAATAGAGAAGATTAAAATGGAGCTGGAGACAAAAAAGCGAATGAAGAGCCACGAAATGGCTGCAACTGATAAGAAAAAATGTGAGTTGAAAGTGAGAAATGCGAATCCCGTCAGTATCGTGGTAAAACAACGTGCTAAGGATAAAGTGCCTGCAAAGTCGACAAAGAAAGTGGACAAGGCGTTTCTAGTAAACGGAAAGGTCTACAAAGTACCGAGGCTTCCTCGCCCCAAGTATTGGGTCACAGATCACCTTTATAAGTTCTTGTGGAAACGCATGGAGAAAAAGTATAAATTTGCAACAAGAATAAAATCTGAGAAATTCGTGCAAGAGTTAAGCAAGATAGTCTCTTTTATCTGCAATAGTAAGAAGTACGACAGCTATAAGATGGAATTAAAAGCACTGATGAAAGAAATGGCTCGACTGAATATTATTAAGACTCGTAACGACTTTTATAATTTTTGTTGGGATTTTATGCCATATGAATTTCGTGTTAAAGCTGTCCCTATGTTATTACCTGGCAACAAAAGGACCATTCCTTACGATCCAGAAATGTTACATACACCATTACTCAGTGATGATCATTACGATGATTAAAATCGTAATACGAAAGGATAGTTACAATGATAGTCGTCTAAAAATTACACCAAATCAATTAAAGACTTTGTTAGATTGTGCTTTTGCAATCACTTTGTGATACCGCGTTTGTGATATATCTATATCTAAGTCATATCTAATTAATAATATACTTTATAATATTGATATACAAATAATATATTTTCGATAAATGTAAGATGTGGAAGTATTGTCTGCAATCTCTATAACGTGAAGCTCCACGTGCAAATAATCGTATAATATTGTTACATGTGATTTTTTCAGATAAAGTTATGTATTTCTTATATTTTTTTAAATAACATTCTGCTCTTTATATATTTCGGTCTGATAAAACGCATTAAGTATTAATAAACGCCGCGTGTGAATAAACGGCCCGAAAATTATTTACACGTAGCGCGAACGGCCAATATTTGCACTTTCGCTCTCTTTCTGTCAGCGTCCTATTTGGCACGCGTCCCACGAGCGCGTGTGACGTCCGAAACGCAGTATTCCCACGCCTTTGATACCCAAACTTCTATATGTATCAGCCACTTTAAGCGATCTGTATTACATGTTTATTTACTTATTCCTGTAAGGTGCGCATATATATATATACGCTCGTAGCGCGGCGTTATATATAGATCTATTGTGATCTCTACAGCTATAAATATCTTCCTAATCGTTGACTCTGTATGATAATCTTTTTGCGCGAGCAAACAATCCTCCTTGTTTTTCTTCGATGTTCACAACAAAAATCATTTATGCTCCTTTAATAAGCTTCATCACAATTGCTATTTTTGATCGAATCGATAAATAATTACTTTAGAAGCGCTTTTGAATTATGATTTAAGTTAAATAAACGATTGAGATAGGAACTTTGCTGTTAAATTAAATAATTTACGTGAAGGGTGGCAATAAAAAGAAATTAATTATCGTGTTTATCACCATTCCATCTACACAACCTTTTTTTTTAATAACTCTTTCGAATTAAATAACGAATCAAAGATTCCATTATTGGTAGTTTATTCTTTGTTACGTTGTGTTATTCATGTTGGCCTTAAATTTTTTCATAAATTTGTTTTCTAAGCTAATTATTTCGAGCTACTTGAAAATAGTAATTACCTATATGATAAATATGGAAATTTGTATTCGACATTTTGTAGAAAAATATATCTTTTTTGCATTTAACATGTTTGATACTTGTTGCCCCTTTATTTATGATTTTAATAATAATTTATGAAAATAATAAATATAAAAATAAATGATTTTGCAATATTCGAAACTATTATATATAATTAATTCTCGGCTTACAATCGGTTATAATCTATTTTTAATCTATAATTACATATGTTACGTGAAACACATGCTTGCGCGAAAGATATTTCACTACGCAGAATATATGGTAAACTAAGTTTAAGATCTAAAACTTGCACGTTCTTATATAAAATATATTATATTAAATTGACGTAATTTCGTAATTGACGTAATTTCAAGTAGAATATTATGCGAATAACGGCTTGCTTTGCGTTCTAGGTATTGCAATTATACTGGCGACATAATACTACGCTCATTGCGTGTCGATGGACCGTGACGTGTCGACTTTGCAAATATTTGTAACAAATCAAACGTCGCGTTGACGTAACTGTGCTCACGCAATTCGTGACGCGCTCATAGCGAGTCGTCGCGCGATTAGCACTCCGAATCTATGCAACGTGTGACTGTTAGCTAACAGCTAACCAGATTACCGTGACCTCCTGACCCCGAAAGCATGCCGGATTTCCTGTATTCTGTGATAGACGCGCGCGTTAATAGTTGCAACAGCACGAATCGAGGGTGAACGTTCTGCTCGACAATCAACTAATGTAATCAATTTTTTTCGAGAGTGAAATTATATTTTTTGTATCGATAAATTCTATTAAAGTAAATTCACGTTTTCTCTCTCCACAAAACGAATTCTATCTACTTTTTGTATCTGACGTATACAACACATACGCATATTACTTTTTCTCGGTTTACTCGAGAGTACCATATGCATCCCGAGAGATTTCCAAATCCTTTCGGAATACGGCGCGTGTTTGCCCGCGAGGACCGAAAACGGCGAACGGTAACACGATCTTGCGTATTAATTAATCGCGCGCGAGGCACCCTCGAAGGCAGCGGTCTCCGTTTGAAGTCTAATCTCTATAATGGAACGACCGCCTCAATTAGGCAAGACTTATTTTCGCCGGGCCGCGATGTTTGAGCGCGCGTTTGCGGCCACGCGACCGTGCCACGCGCCGCTCGTTATACTCCATCGCCGATGGCGATTGTTTCCCCCCCCCTTCCCCCAGCCGCGAAAAAATAATTGCAGCTCGCGTCGCTGAACGGTCGAACGTGTTGCAGTAATTGCGCGAGTGAACAGATCGACGGATTTTTCCGCACACTTTGCGTCAGCATTCGTGATACGATGCGGTCGATAGACATGGTTGATACACCGTGTGGGCGGTGAAGATGCGTACGTCATATTTTTGCGAAAACTCAATTGTTTTCTCCGCAAACGTATTACTTGAACGTCGTAAGTATGGTTGCTTTTTGCTATAAGATTCATTCCGCGTTTATGCAGCATGATTATCCGTTGGAGACAATCACCAGCCGGGGAGACTTATCGGCATCGTCGGAAGCGCCGATTGACGAGCCGGAGTGCACTTATGATTTTAATTCCAGTGAGCGATCTTTCCACGGTCGGCTCGCTCGAATGTTATGACAATTATGAGTTTTTCGTGGGGGCACCCGGGGGCGGCACGTGGCCTCCGGACGGTGCATCGGGGGTCGCGTACGGCGTGACGCGTGCCGCCGCGTGAGAACGACCGCGCTCACACGCGTCACACGCACGTCGATGGACACGTGTGTGCATACAGCCGTGAGAGGAGAAAGCAACAGAGAAAGAGTGCATCGCTTCGGGATTTACTCGTATTCACTCTCGACTTTGGACTGCGTTTGATGTATCTTGAAACGCCAATTAGATTTCGTTCATGTGTATTTATAAGATATCAGTTTGATTGGAAAACTATTTATTATTTAGATTTATACGTTTCTTGTACATTTTATCACTACAGAGTTATATATTTCATGCGGCCATTATTATGGCTCGTGTAAAAATACAATATAATATAATTCTTTGTAAGATTATTTATAAAATGCAATTATTTATCAAATAAAATCTCTCTCTATTATCTGTAATGCACTGATGATAACATTGATTAAATTTAATGTATTTTATCGCTATACTACATTTGGTAAACTGTATTACTGCGCTGAAATTGAATTATGCAAAAAACGATTAAATGTTTCTAAAAAAAATTTTTTTTTATTTTAAAATCAGAAATGTGAGATAATGATTTCTAATTCTTTCAACTTTTAATAACTTAATAACAAAGAATAATGATATAATAAAATATAGTCAAGTTTATGACAATTTATTGATATAATTATATTAAATTAAATAAAAATTTAATAAATCTTTGGTTTGGTCAAATCAATCAGTATCACATTTTAGGTGCGTTTATACTTTATACGCTATATACTCTATTTTTCGACAAACAGAACGACAAACTCATATGATGGGAATCTCGATGAATAAATCGTTATTGTCGTCTCTGAACATTTTATCTTTAATTTTTTTCTCTGATTTTTTTGTTTTAGGTCAGACAATTCTTTCCTATTTTCATACTTATGATGTAGTGTACCTGTATCAAGTCGTGTTTTGTCATTAGCCCATGCAAATTACAGTACAGAGTATTTATGCGGCACTAGTGCAACTGACGATGCAATATGAGAGATATTTCACAGCACATAATTAAGCAGTAAGTGAGAATTAATTAGGTCAAGATCTCTCAATAATTGAAATGATATTTCAGCATTGATTCACACATACAACTTTATATTGTTAAATTAAATCTTTTCGAATGTAATATTACAAATTAATTGTAAAGTTTATAAATGTTTTTTGTGCAGAAAAGAGAAAAAACAACATGCATAATTAATTGATTGGAATCAAGTTATAATAAAATTAGTACGTATCAGCATTTTGTCAATCGACAATCATCTCTTTCTCTGTGGATTCTCGTCAATCATTCGTGCATTAATCCAATTCGGTCTTATTTTCTCGCCTATAATCCCTATGGACCATTGAACACTCGTTCTATTCCATTGCACAGTGCGAATACGCGTGCACGCATTACTTTCCTTATTGAATTGTGCATTGATTAATCGCGATACCTTGCACTCTCTCGTTACGTTAGGAATAGATAAAATTGCTTTTCTTATTTGTTGCATCTGATGACCGACACGTGCAGTATCTTTGTCAATATCATATACAATTTTTCTAAATAGATAAATTCTCGCGCGAATGTACATTATAATTTATACACACAGATCTCCAACAAAGTTTACGCTAAAACAGTTTATAATAATAGTGTCATTTTGAGATAAAAAATTAAAAAGTACCTTACATATTTAACAAAAAAAAAACAACAAAAAAACACATCTATAAAAATAGAATTAAAGAAATTTTCAAGTTAAATAGAATAAGAATTAAAATGTTACGCTCTTTCAACGCCCATTCCAGCGAAATTCTCAATTATGGTGCAATTTACGAAATACTGCACAAATAGACATCTATCTGCCGCATCCGACTTACGGCAATTAAAATCAACCCCCGTCGGCGGCGTTGTGGAAATTGCTATTGCATCAAACCGAGCGTAATTATCGGTCGCTCATTAGCCCTTCGTCTCCGCAAGGATTAACCACCTCGAGCAAATCGCTGGCGGTCATAAGCTCAAAAGTCTATCCGAGAAATCGCGTGAGAGGGATGCGACAATATCCGCGGGTGCGAGCGCTTTCGCGTTTGGGGATGATCGTACACCGCCGACGCGAGTCCGGAGCCAGCCGAGGTCATAAATGGGGCGGCGCGGCGCTCCGGAGCGGCATTTCGTCGCGTGACGCCGTGACGTTCGCATCGATTCGGAGCAACGGAGCGACGGCGCGACGAACAGAGGCGCAGAGTGGATATAGGCGGCCGAAAATCAATCCCGCGCGTATTACGCTCACGGCAAGGCGGAGAAATAATCGACGAGACTTACTTTTTGTCAGAGGCGGCAACGTGAGTCGAAGCCGGCCGCGATGCTGAAAAAATTCCTCGGCAAGTCCGGCCGTAGGATCCTGCGGGTAAGTAATCTGTCAACGACGTTAATACTCTCCTCCAAACCGTTGCCGTTTTGACTGTTGCATGCACGCACGTTTCGGGCGCATGGTGCGACCTAATTCCCTCGAGTGCAGCAGCGAACACCTGGACACTGGCCGGCTCTCTGCGCTTCGCTCTCTCAATTAGAGAATCGGTCCAGTTCACTCGTTAGCTACTCATCGACTCGGAATTCTTTACTCGTGTGCTTTTCTGTCCCATTAATGTGAATCCACGTTACACGTTACCTCTTTGTCTTATCTCAAGTAAAATTTCGGTGACATATTGAACAAGATTAATTTTGCATGGTTCCGCTTACGTCATTCCGTCTAGGCGTGAAATTTCCGCGGGACGTTAAATTATTGCAGATCGATGTCCTTACGTGTCGTGGTGCGACTCGATGGACGAAAAACTCGGGTTTTCGGTTTCTATTGTATCGCAATTAAGCACACAGCGCACAGCGAAAATTTTCGTCGATCTCTTTCATGAGAGAATACGCTTTTTCTTTGTTTATTTTTATTTTTTGTATTTATCGGAGCTGTGATTTGCTTGGTAGGCCATCAAGAAGCTGTCCACCAGGAGTCGCAAAGCCAAAAAGTCACGCAATCCCAGTTCCTGGCACACGGCCATTCCGGACCTCGAAACGACTTCTCTATCGTGGTCTCTGCCGTCCTTAGACGCCAAGAGCATCGACACGTACATGACGTACGTTGCCGAGAACCAAGAGGACTGCACATCGAACTGTTGCTGTTGCGACGAGTACGAGGAGAATCAAAAGAACGAAAACAGAGAGAACGAGATGATAATCTAACATCCGTATCGTTAAGCGATGTTTGCTCGTTTGTCTCGTGATCATATTTGCACGGCGATCGTTCACGAGGGAGTGGAAAGAAATCGCACGCATACGATTTGAAACGATATTTAACCCTTAATTGGTGAGTACGAGTATACTCGTCCGTCATTCCTCTTCTTTTTTTTTTTCTCTTTGCCAGGATTCCGGTATTCTGTAATATAAATGCAGCCGCAATAACCAGTGCAATAATCAGTGCAATGGCTATAACCAAAGAGAAGGTCGAAGGTTTGTCGAAAGCTTTCAACCGGTTAAGGGTTAATCCTACGGTCCTTCCGTAATCCGTTCCATGCACCGTAAACGCCTAAGCGCTTCTTTATTTTTCGAAATATGTATATCGTATGTCGAGCTGAGAAATGTGAGATGATGGAGAAGCCATAATTGTGTGAACTTCAGAATATTATACGTATAATATTATCACCATGTCATCGAGAGATGAAAAAAATTGTGATTGAGGCATGATACTTTATTTCCAGTTAGTCTTCCAGTCTAGATTATATCGACTTATTTTCTCGCACGAATCGCGCTTACGCGAATGTGCTTGTCCTGATCTCATTTAGCAATTTTGTTGATAGATGCGTTACTTATTTATTACTCCTTACTTATTATTTATTATCACGGATACTTCGATTAATCACGATACTGATAAAATTATGTTGATCCGACGATTTAATCGATTCGGCGTCAGAGCGACCATTTTATTTCTTCTTGTTTTATTGTACAAGGATGGAAGGAACCAGTGCAACGCGTATCATTGTCTCATTCGATATAGAGAACAGCAATACGTGACGTAGTACAAAAAAATATATATATACATACATACATATATATGTGTGTGTGTGTGTGTGTATGTATGTATGTATGTATGTATGTATGTATGTATGTATGTATATATGTCTAGCACGTTGTCGACATTCGCCAGAGAATGACGTCCGAAATATAATAGGACTTTTCCATTTGTGGTTTTATCATATCGGGTCTAACCCGCGGATCACTATTTTGCAAGATACTGTTTTTGGTGTCATGTAAACTATTTTAGGTAATCAATAGTTTATTTTCGCGACTCGCAAGTTGTACCAAAACATGTACACCAATGGCGGGACCTTACTATCTAAATAATTTATATTTATAATTGAAAATTGAAGATTTTAGAAAACTAGACTTTTACTAGGATTACAATGACGAGAATTAAAGTAACGAAGAAAAAAATTAAATTACTTACCTTCTCAATTAACTTACTGTGCACTTACACACATATGTTCATCGGGGACATTTGGATATATACGTATTGTCGAAGTGTAACAAGTTTCATCAATTAATCTTGCGCAGATTAACCTTGATTTTTCTACTATTTATCCGTAAGAAGAAATCCGACTTTGTAACTTGATGTCGTCGTCACTTTTACATTAATTGTCCTAGGTGTTCGATATTTTGCGCGGTCAAGATGCACCTGTTAGATTAGCCACAGCTGATATAATCGACCCTCGATGCAAAAAATTTATCATATTTTCATTAAAAATGAAAATAAGAATCAATAAAAATTGTTATTCTGAGAAAAACAATTTGTATCTGTGTGAATATTATTTTCTACAAGTGGCAGTTGCGAATTTACGGAAATGTTTCTGCATCTTTCATTTTAAATCTTGCCAAGTTCGAGTTGCCAGATATCGAGGGTGTTTACGCAATAAATCGCACCGGCCTGATCACTCGAACAGAGTTATTCTCTTTCCAATCGTTTTTAGCACCTTCGCTCAAAGTTAATCTCCACTAAAAGGTAGCAGGATGCGTTTTTACTCTCTCTCTCTCTTCCGACGCATTGATTTATAAGAGAAGAAAATGAAAGAAAAGCTTTAATGACTTATATCTATGTATAGATGCAGAGAATTTATATGTACATAAAAAACCAAAAAACCGAAAATATGGATGTGTACGTAGGTGTAAGATGCGTGTTGATATACTTTATCGTAAGCGTGTCCCGATAAGGCTGTGACTTTGTAACGGATATGAGTGTCATAAATAAAATGGTTTTATTGACGATTCCCGACGTGTTCCCATGACCCCTGTCATCACGGTTTCATTGATCGTGCGACGTGTGTGCAAGCTACAGCATACATATATATGCATACGTACGGGACGCACACACGCCGGGAAAGTACTGTAAAATCCACCGGTGTTATAAGACACAGAAGTCCTTCGTTTGAATTGGTAATGATATCGATCCGCGCGATTTTCTCGTTACGGTGTGTACCAATTATTTTAGCGTAGCGTGTATTCGCGTGTAATGAGAATTGATTATATTACTTTGCGACAGGTAATGCTACGCTCACCTCTGTAATTCGCGCAGTTTCTGACTGATTGCGTTTCGACGCTGCACCATTTTTGTGAATTTTTATACAGAGGCTTGTCGAAAATGAAATTGATGATGATTTTCACAAGGTTGTTGATTATTTTCGCATTCACTTTCAGATACTTTTTAATATTGATTATTATCAGATAGTATATATTATTTGGCGTCCCGGTTTTTCATTGTGTTCCTTGATTTTTTAAATAAAAATTAAGAAATGATTGTATTGATTGTTAAAAAATGATACAATTACCTATTGATTATTACAAAAAATTCACACACACAAAAAGCAGTTTAATTTTCCAAATAAATCACTTATCAAAACTCGTCTATTCTACTCAATTTATCTCGCCTTATTCATTACACACACACACACACACACACACACACACTCTCTCTCTCTCTCTCTCTCTCTCTCTCTCTCTCTCTCTCTTAAAATATTAATTATGTCCCTTGCAATTTTTTAGCATATGTCGTGCAATTTGCATCACTGACTGAAAGAAAAAAACGATTGACCATTCAACCGTTAACTTGACAAGCAGCGTCGAGCTTTGACAAGAGATCGCGGCCAAACACGTTACATAGGCGCGTTTCGCAATTATACGCGCGTGCGACCCATAGAAAAATCGTGCGTAACGAGCACGCTCGAACAATGGGACGCACGTGTCTACGCAATATTAGTAATTCCCGAAAATTAGGTTCTACCGACGCAGCGAGCTGGTAAGAGCGCGCGAGGGCAAAAATAGCTCGACTAATCGTCGGCCGCAGTGTGTTGGAAAAAAAAAGAATAAAAAGCAAAAAAGAGATGCATTTCGTGCATGCGAAACTAATGACTTGCAAAACTGGTTTGCAGATATAATGCGAGCGGAAGGGTCGTAAGCCCCATTGTTCTTTGTCGGAAATATTCCGCGTCTGCGAAGAGAATTTTGCATGAGAAAGGGGAAAAAACGGCGCTTTTGCTTCCTCCTCCTCC